ATCACGCCTTGGGTCTGGGAATAACCCCGGTGGAGGAATACCTACAGCTGTTTGTTGAGTCGGACGAGGATAGCCGACCCATCTATGGAGGGACGGATGGGACATTACGCCTTAAAGGAGAGAAGGACGACGGCGACTCGCCAACACCGGGCCCTTCCGATCTACAGAAGCGCCAGCAGTGCTCGTCTTCGGGCAGCAGACTGGGACCAAAGTCCTCCAAAGGAAACAACATGCCCCCACCTCCGGAGGCTAAAGCGTCAAAGGGTAGAAAGGAGGAGGAGAGAACCCCGGGAGAGGCTGGGCGGGCGGCGCCCTCCGCGGAATCGGAGGGGGATGGCCAATCTGTCTCTTCGAGGGGCTCGGGCGGACTGGTGGAATAATAAAGATGTCTGCTGCGGACAATACCAGTGTCCAACTGGGAAGCGGAGTTACGGACGACATCGGTGAGGGGTTTGCCTCTTCGGTGTCGTCCAGAAGCGGGGCCTCCCTGAGGGGGCCCCCGCGCATACGAACCAGGATAAAAAGGGGCAAGGCCCCCTCCGAGTCGTGTGTCATCTCATCTGGCGAGGACGCCGGCGTAAGGAAGGACTCGAACGAGCCCCCCAAGAAGAGGAGCACGGGGAACCCCAAAAACCCTTCCACCGCGCAAGGGTGGGACCGCAGGATCTCTCAGGGCCGGGGACGACCCCAGACAATCGGGCTGTACGTCGGGCGGGTGGAGGCCATTCGAATGGCAAACGAGGAGAAGAAGAGGAGCCTCCAACTTAAACGAGAGGCGATCGTCCGAACCTGAGGAAAAGACGACCTCTTCAGGAAATCGAAGATCGACCTTAAGAAAATCAAGGACGGAATGGAGGACGACACATCCGAGGATCTGGCCTTCAGGGTCACGGAGTGCCTAATGGAGGTCATCCGGATGTCGTGAACCTCCTCCAACCTCAAAGGCACGTACCAAAAGGCCCTCAAAGCTGCGGCAGCCATCTCCATGGGCTGCATGGAGATACTGAAGGAGCGCACGGAGCTCCAAGAGATCCGAATCCAGGCGGGGAAGATGCGCGCTCTCCGCAAAGAGATGGCGACCCCCCGCCATAGACTTGAGACGGAGCTGGAGGCCGAGAGACGAAAGGTGCGCGACGTAACAGTCGAAGCGGATCGGTACCGCAGGGAGTTGGCACAACTAAAGGCTAGCCTCTCGGATGGATCAGGGAGGAACCCCCCCCCGGGCTGGTCCACCGGCGAGAACGAACCTATGGACACCGACTCGGGCGAGGAGGGCAAGAAAGGGAGGAAGAAAGTAAACCTTCCCCCTGCTGAGGAGTGGCCCGTGGTCAGACGTCCTGCCCTACGGGGTAGTTGTCTAATACTGGAAGACCGCCCCGTTAGCATCGACATGAAAATTGTCGATATTAAGGGCAATATCAGAGCGGTGGGCGCCAACGACAGGGGAGCTCCTCCCGCCCCCAAGTCCTAAAGACTCCGATACGAGAGGATCCCGGGGACAACCCTTC